TAAATTGCAAAATACTTTTTTTTTTTTTTATTAAACAAAGAATTATATATGCAGAATGGTCCAACCATTACACTGAGTCTGGTCTTTCAAAAAAGAAATTAGGTTAAACTTCATTAAATATAGTATTTTTAATTAATTTTGTATAAATTTTTATATTAAATTTAATTAAAATATAATATAATATTTATATTCAAATTTTGTAAAAAAATATAAATTTAATATAAAAATTTATACATAATTAATTATAAATTTTAAAATTAATAAAATTTGACATATATATATTAAAGGTCCATATTAGACAATTTTTTTTTTTTAGAAAGGCATCGTAATCTGAAGAATTATGGTGAGTGTTCTACGGGGGATAAAGTTAAAACCAATTGGTCCACCTTTTGGGCTCTTTACGTTTAAGAAAGCTTTGACAGCACGCCCTCGGGCTCCCATGGGGCGCCTCAATGTCTTTGAAGTGGACTGCACTAGAGAGTTAAAGCACAAGTGGTTAGGGAGGAGCCCTTGAAAGGACCTAGGGCATCTGTTTTTTTGGTTATTCGATTCACATTCTGACAAATTCTTTATCTCAGCATTTACATGTACAAGTTGATAACCAGAATAATATTGGTTAATAGGTGTTATTTTATAAATAAAAGTTAGAATTTAAATATTTAGATTAGTATTTATAAAAATTAAATTTTTTAATTGAGAAGTGTATCTTTAAAACTATTTAAAAAATATTAATTTTTTTAATATATAAAAATTGATCTAAAAATATTTTACCTGTTAAAAAAATAAATTAAGAAATATAAGATATGTTTTTTTTATTTTTAATAGAAACTTATTAAAAAATATAATTTTAAGATATTTTTACTCCTAATTTTGTGATGGTTTGACTAATAAATATTTTTTGCTTACAAAATTGGTTAATATATATAAATAGTTGTTCATGGTATTATTATTATTATTTATATAAGATAATTGGACTATACAACAAGAATAGTAGTTCTCATCTTTTCTTAATCTCTTTCAAGTTATCACTTGTCTTAAGATTTGAATACGAGATCTTGAACTTATGGACTGTTTGATATAGTAGTTTGAAACTAATAATTAATGATTTTATTTAATCTGATAGTTAATAAGAATAATTATTAATAATTCAAATATTCTTATTGATTGAATTAAATAAAATCATTAACTATTGTTGAGGGATGAATTTGTGGTCTTGAAATTGATGACATGCACGGTTCCACATCAACAAGGGCTTGCATAACTTATTTGCCACATTAGACATGTTGTTCTTATTTTCTGCTGATTATTGCAACAAAGTCAACATCGTTAGAAACAACATCTATATACTTCGTTAGGAACATTGAAAATGCAGTCCACTCAAGCATCTTTATATACATGGTTGGACATGGCTAGATCTATTTCCATGACATGGTTGGACATTTTTGACGATCGTGTCTCTTGCAGCGATATTCATTACTAACTCATGTGCCTCCCAACAATGGACAAAGGGCTAAATTTGTTATCTTATTTAGCCTCCAACAATGGGTATAAGGTTACACATATTTTCATATCTCCATCATACCGGCTCTCAACAACGAACAAAAAGTTAGATTTCTACATATTTTATCTCACGAGCTCTCGAAAACGAACAAAGAGTCAATACAACTCTGTACGATTAATGTGAGGCCAGTAACAATTGCAACCTTGTGATCGAATGGGATGGCTACCCTCCAACAATAAAAATCCATCAAGTAACAACCAACGGTCCCTTAGTGGTCGTCCGTACATAGTGGTGTGGTGCCTAGCATGCAACAACAATCAGGACCACCCTCTGACAGTGTAGGTACGACAAGAAGGGCCAGCGTTTGTCAGTGATATCACAGCTTGTCGTATCGAAGGCCATGGATGCGATTGGTGTCCCCCTTCCATGGAAACAACGCCACCTCTTTCTTTATCACATCCATCGCTATGGCAGAGTCTGGTTTAGTGAGATTTACCTTTTTGCGACTTGGCGAACTAGTGGAAGTGCTCTTCCAATTCCACATAGTTCATGCTCCAACCATGGGCAAAGCTAACCATTGTTGTCCCTTTGGTTATGGGGAAGCTATTCATGGCGGACCTCACAATACTTATATAACATGGCTAGTAAGTATCGTTAACTAGCAATGCTTGGCTTGGGACAACGATCTCACAACACACATCCATATCATTTATTCCTTATGCTAGCGCAACGCCAGCCATATACAATAGTAATATATTAGTGCTCGCCATGGCCAACGAGCAAATGGAAGTAGTGAACATTCATCCATATTGTCCCCCTCAACACACAAGGAAGTTCATTTCTTCGTTGCATATATTTATATATTTTACATTTAAATCTTTAAACATATATTCACATGTGTTTTGCTGTCATTACAGATAAATACAAGCTCATGAACCCAAGTTTATGGGAATTATTAGAGATAAACTATAGGAGTAGTGGCTTGGCAAGCATGGATGGGTGAACGTTGCCTGTCTGCTAAAGTA